AGCTTACTTGTATTTTCAACTGTGGGTATTTTTTCTGGTCATTGCGTATAAGTATACAAAATATTCGGCTTATAAGTATTTATATGCAGTTGAAACTACCTGAGGGTTTATTTATATGTTATATAGTAAATGCATTGTTTGTAAAAAGGTGTTAATTGAAAATTTATATTTACCTAACCTTGGTAAAATAGACACGTGACCTGAATATGACAAGACTGTGTTGGTATGATTATTGCATCTACATCTATTCATCCATTATAGGCTTATTAATTTAATTGTCATTATAATCATAATTGATACGTCGCAGCTGGTAGTATGTACTATATTGTACCTTTGTACCTGTACATTGCATTCTTATTTGGTGACTTTAGTAGAACGGTTATTTTGATCATAATGAGAATCCTCTGTATTATTGGTCTCCTGTTTATAACAATAATTTCTTTTAACTGTGAGTTTGGAAATGCAGAAAGAACAGTGAGTATACAGTAGTTCAACTCTTGTTATGTAGTCTAACTTTCATTTGAAGTTAATGCCTTCATTCATGGGGTTCATGCTTAAAATATATATCCAGAGACTGATTAGCACTTCAAACTACACTTCTAATAATTTGGAAATACGGAGGGAATAGCCTAACTGTTGTTAAATTTAAATTAATTAGTTCGTGAACTTCATTGGCTTGCTGTTATAAATGTCTCTTCATATTAAACAATGGTCAGCCGATAAAGACAACAAATGTCTTGTCAATGTTTGGCGTCAATGTTTGGCGTCAATGTATATTTAATTATGCCGAATTGATATCTCGTTGTAAATGAAGGCACGAATATCCAACCAAGGAGTCTCCAAGCATTCCGATTAGTTGCATTCATTCTAACTATTTGTGAAAAAAAACCCCATGCGTCGAAAATGTTTATGTTTCTATTTATGTTTTAGGTACATTTGTACTTGATGCACCCTACATAATTGACCTTTTTATAAACTACTTCTTGGATTTCAGTTTGATATTTAAAGATTTTTTTGTGATAATGTAAACAAATTCATCAACATATTTTTTTTTCGAGATTATTTTTGCAAACTAAACTGGGGCTTCTTTTCAAAATGAATATGTACATTTTTAAATTGCTACTATAGGTCATTTTGGAATTCGAAATTCTGTTTCATACATTTAACTAGCTAGTACAGTTTTGTGTATCGCTTCTCATCTCCAAAAAAAAAACCCAAAAAATAATACGTTGTGTGCGTTCGACACAGAAACATATATCGGCTTTGAAAACAGCTTTCGTTTTTTTGTTTTTTTTTTCAGGTTGATTCAAATTCCACGATTCGACGAGTCGTGTCGGAGATCATGCAGAAGATGTCTACGGGAGGGAAGTTCGACGTTAAACACGTGAAAGGGCGAATTCCAAAGGGAACGAAGCGGACGGTTTTGAAGCAAGTTGAGAATCGGAAAGTCTTGGCAGGTTTGTGGGAACACCCAGTGCCGGGAGCATACCAAGGAGATATGTTTTTGACTGCGGATCAAGAATCGAAATTGCTGAAGTTGAAGGAAACTCACGGAGGAATACATAAACGTAAAGCTGTGACGAATTTCGCAAAGCTGTGGCCAATAGCCACAGTACCCTTCACCATTGATGAACAATTAGGTAGGCCAAGTCTATGTGCAACATGATATATATTCAGCAATAAAAATTCAACCAAATTATCATTACGACTATAATTACCTATATTGTATTATTTTTATGCATTGTATAATATAAATTCAGCCGATTAAACAGCAAACCAATTTTGTTATTTTACAATGAAAAACAAAATTGAAATGAAGAACTAAATGGAACATTTGTTTGGATTTCATGGACCCCAGCCAAAAGACATACTGTGGCGTAAGATAATGACGTCGATTTGGCATGTTCCAAAATAATGACGTTAGAATTCTTCTTTTATGTTTGCTGCTATAGTTTCCAAAATTTATCTACGTCTGATTTTAAAGTCAATGCTGTTCTCGTCTCTTTTGATTCCCTGCATCACTGCTAAAAGACATAAAATAATATAGATTTGCCATGTTTCTAACGAATTAAGTTGGAATTTTGCTGTTATAGTTTTCAAATTTACCTACTTTACATATACATAATATAATAATCATTAAGCAATATTGATTTATTTTGTTGTTATCCAGAGTCGAAAACTGATGTTATAATGGCAGCGATGGAATATATGGAGTCCATCTCATGTTTGCATTTCGTTCCACACAACACGTTGGTATCTGAAACTCTGGGACATAATAGTTTCGTTCATATCTTCAAAGGAGACGGGTAGATAATACTTATTACTCATTAAAATATTAATTATATCCTAAATAAATAACAGTTAAATTTGCACAATCATAAATAAGAATGTGGCACTACAAGTTTTAATGTCTGTTTTGTTGCAATTTAGAAGGAAAATTTAACCACCTTTACATATTTCAAAATTGTTTTACTGACAAACAGTAGATCTATAATTAACAGTAGATGGTAATTTATAAAACTCAGTAAACTTGATTACTGTGTTTAGTTTATCTCTTGATAAAGAGATTTTGACACAGTCAATGATATTTGTATGCTATTCGAATAGATGTTGGTCTTCCGTTGGTAAGCTAAGCGGTGGTAAACAGTTAATATCGCTTGGAATCGGATGCTATTCTGTAAGTATGTAACCTTGTTCTATTTTTTTTAAATGCGATTGTAACAACGTATGAATAATAATTATAAAAGTATAAATTAGTATAGTAATAATATTCTGATTCAAGATTTGTTTAATTAATCAGTTTAGACCAACACATGTACATATTGGTTATTTTGTTTTACTAGCATGGCGTCATCCTTCATGAATTGTTACATACGATCGGATTTCACCACGAACAATCTCGACTTGATCGCGACGATTACGTACAAATAAACTGGATCAATATTGATGAATCGTTGGCCAATAATTTCCAGAAGAGTAACGTCATTACTGATTATCCATACGACTATTATTCTCTCTTGCATTACGGTAGAAATGTAAGCTCTTATATTGTATTCCATTGTTTTTCAACAACTAGAAAAGAACAATGTAGCACAATTATACTTTCATCATGTGTCTGTCGAAGTGTCTTCTATTTTCACCTGCGAATGCCTATGTAAAATGGCAAGGAATGTAAAGAAATAAGTCAAACAGGGTATTTTATCAGATGACATAGGCAGTATTTAATGTAATTAGATATAATTAAATAGGCATTTATATTTACTTGCAGAGTTTTCGCACCGACAAAAGTTCTCCGTCGATTAAAACAGTAAATCCGCTACTACAGTTCGACATTGGTGGCGGTAATAATATGACGTATACTGACATCTACATATTGAATGACCTGTACAGTTGCAGTGGTAAGGGTTTTAAGCATTTTTTTAAATGAAATCAACGGGGGTGGAAAAGATAGGGGTGTGGATTTTGGTAAGACGGAGAAAATCTTCTTTGTTTCTTCTGTACATATCTTAAAAGATTAAAAGGGTAATGTAATTTGGGACCAAATCAAATTTAATAAAAAGGCATAATAAATATAGATATTATACCATAGTAATCGAAGCTAATTTTGTCGTAGCCGAATGTCCTGAGACAGACTGTGGAAGTGGTTTTCTTGGTGCCAGATGCGAATGTTTTTGCTTTGAAAGCGATGAAAACGAGCTTGACTGTAATCAACCACCTGTTGAGTTGTTAAAAGGTAATAACCTTGTCCATTGCTAGTACTGATATTATGAATTGACTTTTATATTCCAAAGTAGCCTATGATTTTATTTTTTTTGAATGTATATATACTGTCTCTTATACACATCTAGATGTGTATAAGAGACAGTAGCCAATAGCATGTGTGAGCGTTTAACCGTGGAGATCTCTAGGTCTCCGGTTCAATTCTTATTGCTGACTATTCTTGTGTTTCAGTTGGAGGGCTGATATACAAGTTACGATAGCGCACCGTCTTTCGATTGGCCCAGTGTGTGTGTTATGGCCTCTGTGTAAAACAACACAGTACACTCTTCGGAAAAGATTTGGGGATTTTCTCCCAGTGTACTGACATATCACCACCAGCAGGAACCACTGCAAGTAAGTCTGCTTCATATTTCAATAACCCATTTTATGTTACTTCTTTTTAATACAGGACGTTTCATATTGCTGACAACTGACGAAATTGCTGTCAGAAGAAATGTCATGTTAAGTTAAACAACGCAGTACACTCTCGGAAAGGAGTAGGGATTGTCTCCCGGTGTACTGCCCAATCACCACCAGAAGGACCCACTGGAAATACGTCTACTTCAGACTTTCACCCATCCATTCATATTCCATGTAAATAACCCATTTTATGTTACTTCTTTACAGGACGTTTATTATTGCAGACAACTGACGAAATCGCTAACTGTCAGCCAGAAGAAACGTCATATAAAACTGGTTTATTTTTTTTACAAAGAACTGTCTTGACAATGAATGGAGATGAGATGTACAAAGAAATCATCCGTTTAAAGTACGAAACCCCACCCCAAATAATAATGTTCACTATAATTGACAAAAAGTGACATTACCATACTTTAGACCACAAATATTATGATAAATCTTTTATTTTGTTTTCGCTGCGGCTTGTCCAGCGCCTCTCAACATATTACAATGACACATTTTTATAACTTTGAAATATATGACAAGGAACATAATTAATACCAGTACTTAGAAACAGAGAATTTAAAGACATCTTCAAAATGGTTCTGTAAAGGTGCCCATTAAGAAAAAAAACACAAAACAAAAAACTAAAAAAAAAAAAAAATTGGATACCAAGCACTTTCGAATTTTTATGTAATTTTTGGAAAAGAAGGTGTAAAGTTAGTTTGTAGAGGAAGATGGTGATGGTGGAAAAGAAACAAAGAGTAAAATACATCATTGTAAGG